CGATGGAAATCATTCATCCTTATACAATGTAAAATATAAACAGAAGCTAGAATACATCTTTTCATATGACAACTAGACTAGACTGGACATGATAAAGGCACACTATGATAACTATAAACATATTCTTATTAACTGCCCTTTTTTGCTTAGTTAGAATAGAAGAATGTAAAAGAGAAAAAAAATTGATTTTGGAATGAAATTAACTCTGACTTTCTCCCTATGAAATACTTTTTTACCTACCTATCTACACTGTGTATATATATATATACTTTGTTTATCTAATACAAAGTAGTTAATTTAAACGAGCGACTAGTCATCACGCTGGAAAACAACACGACAAAGACATGCAATTCTGGAACAAAATTGTCTAGAATAATGCAGTCAAAAGTCGAAATACGGAAAATAACAACGTTTAATTGTAGCAGTGAAGGGAAAATATTACTAGTTGTGTCTGAAATTCTTCAATGCTAAAGAAATCTACGACTCAGGAAATGATTATTAAGGAACTGCTAGAAGACACAGTGTTAGATTACCAAGTGGTTGTATTCCTATTTTTTCTGATAGGATGAAAGCAGTACACCGGTTACAATGGGCAGTACTCACTTACTTTAGCTGGTGTTCCTCAGCTAGTGTTGTTCTTTCCCCTTTTCTATTTTCCTTCTTTTTCTTCTTCTTATTACATGACTAACTTGCCTCATTCTGACGAAGCTAATTTTGTTAAATATGCCAATGATCTCACTGTTTCCTTGCTGACGGTTACTTCTCAGTCAGACTGTTTCAGAATGAATAACATTTTATCAGAAATTAGTCAGTGGTATTCGTCAACAAATGGTCTTTAGCTTAATTCCTACAAATGTCAGGTGGTTAATTTCACTTTCAGATGTAACGTGATCTGCGTGAACTGGTTAGTTCGAATGGTTCCACTATCATAGATGGGACTGGAGTTGAAATCAAATTGAATGTTAAATATCTAGGACTGTGCATTTCCTCTGATCTTTCCTGGTCTTCCGACATCATGTTAGTTTCCAGAAAGATATTTTGTTTGACTTTCTGTTTAAGAAAGTTAAGACGATCTGGTATCATTTTGTCTCTACTGTTACCGTTTGTTAATTCTTGTATTCTGCCTATACCTCTTTACTGTTCCTCCTTAGTCTTTCCTGGATTACTTAAAAAATACTTTGTTATACCGTGTAGATCACTAAAATCCGTCAGTGGGGCGAGTGTATTGTTGTCAGATCAACTCGTTAATACTATTTTAGATAGACACTTGGATTCCTGTAAGAAATTAGCAAATATTATCCTGTCACACTCTGAACATCCTCTCCACGCACATAACTGTCTCCTTACATCTTATCGTCTACAACTAGGGGCCATTATACAAGACTTTATGCTCAGACAACTAAGTACAAAAACTCTACAATACCTTATTTAGCACGCATTTTATGTGATAAGAAAAGTGTAAGACAGGAAATTACCAACTTACTTCAGAACCCTAATTAAACGGCACTTTTTTTGTTCTCATTGTTACACTGTCGCTAATATTTTCACTTGAATTAATTTTATGTTCATTTCTTATTGAACAATATTATTAATGTAAATGCCCTATTTTAACTATTGCTCTTGTAATGAGAAAATTAGATACAATACTGTACTACTACAGGCTGAAAATTCCATGTTTTTCCATCAAGTACTGTTTCCGAATAAAGTTATTATTATTACTACTTAAAAAAAGACTTAATGAACATTCCCTCATATAGATGCATGTAAACGGTTACGGACATCATTTCAAATAGGAGAATGCACAAAATCTTAAACAAACGAAACGCCAAAAAATGTCAGGGAATCTCCATGGTCACATTAACTCATATAATGTTTAGCAAAATAATTGAAAGGAAGTCATGTGGATGAAAGTTCAACTATCAGGTCAACAAAATATTCATTATCAATACAAATGAACAGTTGAGTAAGAAAACTCGCAGAAAAAATCAAACACGTCTGAGGTCATCAGAAGAGGCGGCTATTCTGCTCATGCAGAACTTTAAAAGCTCTCTTTATTTTGAGGTGTCTAGAGAGACGATGAAAGCTTAGTAGTCGAACAGTCTAGCTGAGAGAACACAACTATGCCGTTATATATGAATAAATATGCATTAAACACACTGAGACAATGACAGCAGTATTTCTGTATGACTGATAATCTACCTGTCTTTTTTGCGATGACTTTGTTTTTGTCATTTTTCAAGCTTTCTAGAGCTGCTATTTGTTTTTGTGATAAGTTGTCTCTAACACTTTTTCAAATCACAACTGACCTATCTTCAACCATAAGCTTAGTTTACAGAAGTCCGATAACTTTAAGTGAAACGCAAAGGTATATTAAACAAAGAGGGATTTGTTTATAAACAAAGCGTCAAAATGATTTATCAGATATAAGTTATTATGGACGATGACTAACAGTGGAATCCAGAATGCTCAATCCATCCTATTTGGAAAAGTAAAAATTGACTTTAAGTTATTATTGTCCCATTTAATTTTAGTCCCCTGTTAGGTGATTACGTCAGATCGAAAGGCTCGATCTTTGTTGACATGTCTACTCTAGGTGTAAACTATTCGACAATATCTGAAGGTTAATATAATGTTCTTTCAGTTATTGTTGACTGGCAGTAGAATTCAGGATGTTCATCACCGAGAAGCATTATCACCTACTAGGGATTTTCATGTAACCAGATGAAAAGCCCCGAATAGAAGGAGATGAACATCCTGGATCCCATTGCTGATCACCAACTCCTGGAATAGACTGAAGTTATGCTTATTTAGTTAAGCAGAACAATAAAGACAACATTGGTTACTGTTTATCTGGGAGAAATAGGGATAATGACTTCATGGACAAAAGTAGAAGTAATTTTGAGTATTCTGCCCCCCCCCTCAGAAAAAGAAGAAATACGCCTTCAATAAAACGGAAGACCCCAACAATACATTAACCTAAGTGTATATTCTACCTAGTTAGTCTGTTCTAGTTATCAATCATAATTAAAATCTTTTGTAAAAGTACACACTATTGATACAGAATTGAATGAATTGCAATTATATAATATCTCACACTTAATCGCATTAACTATCCTGGCCACCTAGCATTACTTGTAGATATACAAAACACAGAAAGTGTACTACAACCTTTAACCTAATTTGATTAATTATTATTGACAAAAACACATTCTCTCCTGGTTTGTGCACATATGGATTAATAGTGTATAGTTTTGATTTGCTTCTTTTAATATTTAAAAATGAAATGTACTGATTAATTCTGATGAATAAATAATCTGATAAGCCTAAGGAATATAATAGGCTATTTCAGTAGGATTTCAGTAGTAGATACAATTTCAATAAATAGTAATCAAAGTATGCCTTCCAAATGCTGATTAATTTCACTTGTTTGATGTTCATTTAGTTAGTGTGAACTACAAACCAGTGGACTGTTTTTAGTAATAAACGTTTTTGAAATTGACATACAGGAAGTTGTATACGTAAGCAATATAACTGCTAGCATTTAGTCTAAAGTCAGGTATTATACCATTATGAATGCAATTAAACTCTGAAAACTCAAAAGTATACTCAAGTGTTGGTATGTAGAGATTTGATTAATTGGTTGCAGGATTCCATCATGAGCTGATATCAGTTAGAGAACCACTGAAAAACTTGGGAGTACTGGAAAGTCAGTTATTTTGTCGTAATTTGACCCTCTTTATCAGTAGAAATCCACTGAGGTCCGAACCCAGAGCATTCTGGTTACAAGGCGAGCTAGCTCGTAGTCCATTAAGCCATTGGAACCCAATCCAGTGGCTCATGAATTCTAACTTCTGAAAATTCATGAGATAGTGCGATCGCTAGCCTGTGTCTTCGGCGAGTGTTTGTCCTCACACTCGACCTGCTGCACCCTACTGGTCACAGCTTCCCACAAGAACCCAGGTATCTACCAACCTGAATAGGGTCAGCCACTAGTGAGCATTTCATCGATATTCAAGTATTGGTTTGTAGGGATTTGATTGATTGGTTACAAGATTTCATCATGAGCTGAGATCGGTTAGAGAATCATTGGAAAACCTGGGAGTACTGGACAGCCAGTTGTTTCGTCAGCCTAGCCCGGGACTTTTCATCAGTAAGCACCCACCATTAGGGTTAGAACCCAGGACCCTATGGTTACAAGGCAATATCAGCTCATGATTAAAGGTATATGTCGAACAAGTTAAAAGTCATGTGGTATACTCCCTATTTACTGAAAACAACCAACTCACTATTTTGTCTTGAAATTTATAAAAAATAGTCAAATGGAAATTGACTAATGAATGAAGCCTTTTATGAGAATTTGTAGCAAAGGTATGTTACGCCGAAATGTTTTTTGAACTTAAAATGTCTAAAATGATACTTTTGGTCTTTCAATGTTAACAAAATGTGGGAAGCTTGATAATCAAGACATGTAGGAATTCTAAAATGGCTTTTTCTTATTCTTCCTTTTTTCCTTTTAAAGGAAACCTCTTCGGTTTTGTTATAATCCAACCTGTTGACATAATAATACGGACGCTTATTAAATATGATACGGAAGTATATTACAGCCTACTGAATATGTAGAAGGAATAAATCAACTCCACAAAATTTCACTTTTGATGAAACTTCAAAGAAAATTGCATTGAAGATGGATAATATTGTCACAGAAATCTCCACCTCAAGTATGTCGTCAACAGATAGTTAGGTCATTCTTTAAACTCCTTTGCGTTGCGACTGGAACTTAGAGCTTCAAACTTGAGCTTCGACGTTTCAGTAGCGGTGATTTATTAACGGGATCAGGTTGCTGGCTTCAAGCTCAAACATCTCTCTTTACCGAGGTGACTACCGGTTAAGAGAGGTTTAGGACTACGGTGATTAACAATAGAACCCCAACCACCTGAACTACTGTTTCAGTTGAATAAACTATATATAAATGTATTAGAATGATAAAATGTTCAACTCACTTTGGTGATCTTTGAAGAAGATGTTGAATAAAATCAATTGAATTTGATGAACGATGCTTAAAAAGTTCATCTGGATATGTAATTGTTGCATGAGTTATATTTTGCATAGTAATCATTTTGTCTTCACCAAGAAATGGTGAGATGCCAGTGAGTAGATAATAAGTAAGAACTCCAACAGACCTACGATAAGAAAACAGTAGTTTATCAACAAAAATACGATTAACGCTCACAGTCATATATCTATGCAATAACTAAGCAATAACAATACGAATCACATTTATAAAAAATATAGTCTCTTGTGTTTTTAAAGTCAAGTAATAAAACGTAATAGAACAAATAAAATGCTTTCAACCCAAAGCTAAAAAAATGTATAAACTTAAAGAGAAATGTAAGGACTAAGTTATCCATTTCAACTTATAAAGTATTGGTTTCTAGGGATTTGGTTTCTTTCAAGTTTGACCATGGATTTATATCAGTTAGAGAACCATTGAAAACCAGCAAGGAGTACTTGACAGCTGTTCCCTACCCCCATCCTAGTTTGGGAATAATCGATAGTACGCACCCATCAACAGGGTTAGAAACCAGGGCCTTCGCATTACAAGGCGAGCTAGCTCGTATACCATTCATCCACTGGGACCTAGCTCAACGAACAGCCCATGTATTCTAACCTCTACCAATTCGTGATTTAGCGCAACCACCAACCAATGTCATCGATGGGTAGTCCATTCTCACTCCCGACTGGATAGACCTCACTGGTCACGACTTCCCACTAGAAGTGCAGGAAACTCTTTCAGGTGACAAGTCACTGGCGAGCATTAGATTAACTATCAATAATTGGTTTTCAAGGATTAGTTTTGTTTTGATGAGTTGATCACGGATCGATATCAACTAGAGAACCAGTGCAGCAGCAAGGGGGAACTGGAGAGCTGTTTCATCCCAGTTTGAGACTCTTCCCCAGTACTCAGTGGGACCAATAATTCTGCTATTTCGGCTTGTGAAAACACCTTCAAATTATGCAATGACTGACATCTACGCATAAGGCATATTCTCTAGGAAGTTATCAAACGGTGTAGTGCTGTCAGACAGTAAAGCAGAATTTAACTGAATCCAAAGAAAACAACAAAATTAAGAATTGGCAGAAGTTACAATTCACAGGCTATCGGTTTTCGTTCTGATGGATAAATGGTCGACAAGCCCTCTTTAGAACATGAAGATCCTAGGTTTGATCCTTGGTGGGTTCATGACTGCATACTGCTAAAAGATCTCAAACTAGGATGAAATAGCTGTCCAGTGCACCCTGATTTTCAATGGTTATCTAACTGATGTCGTTCAATGATTTTACTTGAGAAATAAGTATTAGCTTTTAAAAAGCGAATTCATACAATGAAATTATTATAAAAAGTGATTCCTAAATCATGTTTATCATCATATATTACTCTGTCGATCAGATAGAAGTTTCTTCACTTCCGTAAGTACTAAAAAAAGAATCTAATTTGCATTATTGCTTCTCAGTTTCGTCTTCCTGAGTCAGTGAATTTATATTTTGATACTGGTGTAGAATGTATCGGTGGCACAGGGGAAGAATGCTCGCCAACCACACTTCATGTGGTCCGGGGTTCGATCCTTGGCAGACGCACTCCTTCACCTTGCTAGACCAGTAATAAGATTAGTAAAGAGGTAAGGTTAGGGGCATGAGGCTGGCAACCCCATCCCGTATAAATAAATACCACTGCTACCGAAACTTCAAGCCTCTAGTCTGAAGCCCCATGTTCCACTGGGAACGTAAAGGAATGAAAAGAAACTGGTGTGGAACTGTTAATGAATACCCAATTAAAAAAGGAATAATAATTTCTTGGAAAAGATAGAAATTTGATAAAACATCTGTTTTTATTAGTCTCACAAGACTATACCATTAAATACAATGCTTGGCGCTAAAGAACACACATTCGCAATTCGGTAGTTATTTTTGTTTGAAGATTACCGAATTTTTTGAACATCTCAAGTAACTTCTGTTTCATAACTGTTTAATTTATAAAATATATATTATTTAGTGGATAAAAGCATTTTATATAAGTAGAGAATTATTAGTTTAAGAAACAACTTCTTTATTCTCGTGTTGTACTCTTGAATTTCACTTGGTGTGAAGTCGTCGTTTTGTTTAGATTTCCTTTATCTTGCTATTATAACTTTCTAATAAGTAATTAAAAATTCTAACTGATGATTTCTTGACTGTGTTAGATCTAAAGAAAAATTAAAACGATTTGTAACTGAACTCTTATTAAACTATTCAGCTCAGAGACCGAAACAAATATTTAAAAAATCTTCCATCGCATAATTATTCAAGATTCTGTGATATAAATCATTATGTATTTTCATAGAATCTTTAAATTGGTAACACTCTACAGAAAGTTATTAAAAAACTGATATCTGATCTCCTCTAATTACTCGATGTTTTCGTGAATATAAAGTTTCGCATCTGAAGTTAAAAAAGAAAGAATAACTAACAGTTAATCAGTCATTGATCTAATCTTTTGAAAGAAGAGACATTGATATACGTCTGAACTAGGTAAAGATTTTTATTACTATTGGTTTTTAAAATATCAGAATTTTGTTTGGATTGATACTATTGTAATAATTTACCAATAGAAACCTCCTTTCTAATCTCTTTGCACTCCAAACGGAACACGGGGCTTCAAATTTCAGCTTTGCAGTTTTAGCAGCACAGATGTTTATTTTTTATGGAGTTGAGTTGTTAAGCACACTTTCAACCTTCCTTATTTTACCAGGCTTACTATCAGGTAGGCGAGGTTTAAGTATGCGACAGCCGCGGATGAATTTCCGGACGAAATGCGTAGTTGGCGATTAATCTATCATTAAACCATCAACTATTTATTTAAGTGAACATCTTTCTTGATGCTTTTCACTAATGCAGTGTATACACGATCTTTACTGACTGACTGGTATCAACGTAGAACTTCGCACAGATGCGCAGGAGTCCGAGTTGCAACACTCCCTCCTTGCAGCATACAAAGCAAAAGAAGGGAGTATAGAGAGATTCAAAAGAGAGATAATAAACAGAAGTGTGAGACAAAAAAGAGTAGTAATATGGAAAAACAATAAAAATTTTACTGGATATAATAGATCACAAAGAATGGATACATCTACGCCATCCATTGCGAACGACTTTGAGCCATATCACCAAATGTCTCCAATACAGTCTTGAAGAAAATTAAGGTTGGTGCCGATACTCACTTCTGTTAATTAATAACTTTACTACTAAATTTTTACCATTAAACTTTGTGAGATGGCCTTATATACATAAGTTTGCTTCCAAATTGTGTCTACTCCTAAAGTCAATTAGACAGTCATAGAATCCGCTTATCGAAAATAAGTTAAGCGACATAAAGTTAAAGTTCATTTATTTTGTTCGGTATTCGATGAACTGACAGATAGGCAATCGAGGTCCATAACTTCGTTTCATTTGATTTCGAAAATCACAAATATTGCCCACAAGTGACTAAGATGTATCTTTTGTTCAGCATAATCAAATAATTCAATATAATAATGATAGTAGCTTTATTCTGAATAATATTTTAAAATACAGTACTGGATTTACAGCTTGATTTTATCTACTCCATATATAGAACCTTAAAGCTGAACAATAATATACAGTATATCATTCGACGAAATTTTGTTCTATCTGCAGCATGCTCTGATTTTCGATTTATTTGTTCCTTCATGAGCAACCAAGCAATAGGTTGAAAGCCATTCAAAAGTGCACGTGAGCACAGATTTTAGCAGCAGGTCTGATCACGAGTTGACGTGAGTTACAGAACCACTGGGAAACCTTTGAGTATTGGATAGCCATTGCGTCAGTAGTATACACTCAATGGGGTTTGAACCCAGGACCTTCGAATTACAATGCGAACTATAGAGTATTCACCCACTAAGACAGAAATCAGTAAGCTATGAATTCCAAATTCTGTCATTTCGCGATATATGTAGCGCAACCGCCAAATAGTGCCATTGGCGAGTAAATCTCTTCTTACCTGACTTATTGGACCCTGCTGATCACGACTTCTCACTAAAAATGCAGCTTCCTATATACGGTCAGTCGCCACTGACTATCAGATTGTTTTCTAAGTGTTGCTTTGCAGAGATTTAATTAATGAGAAGTAGTGATCAGTAGGGTCCACTAAGTCAGGTAAGAGGAGAGTTATTCGCCGATGACACTAGTTGGGGGTTGCGCCATATATATTGCGAACTGATAGAATTTGGAATTCATGGATTACTGATTTCTATCTTAGTGGTTGAATAGTCCATGAACTTGCCTTGTAAGCTGAAGGTCCTGGATTCATACCCTATTGGGTGTGAATGGGTTCCAAACTAGGACGAAATGGCTGTCTAATACTCTCAAAATTTTCCAATAGTTTTATAACTGATGTCAGCTCGGGATCTAACCTCTGGCCAGTCAAATCTTTGCAAACCAACACTTAAAAATATGACTGAATGAAATGAACGTATTGTGGCCAGTGGAAAATTAGAGGACTCAAAGGCTTAACCAAAGTGAATAATAATAATAGCAATGACTATGTCATGCACTACTATTTATCCTTAACAACACCTTTTCTTCAAACCAAATTCTATGTGCTCGAAACCTTCCATAGTAAATAATATTAATAATAATAAATTTCTATAGTTTCATATATAAAACCATAGTTAAGTGGGTTTTTCTAAAGGTATTACCCCAATTATAAGAAAAGATGGTAATCATAATATCCATAATCCATTTGAATGCATTATAAAACCGATTAGCAAAGAATATTCCACTAGTAGGCACAGTGTAATTCACTATGAAAAATTCGAAAAAAGCTCACAACTGTGTATATTTATGGTTTTGTACATGAAGTCGACTGATTACATCATAATAGTTAAGGCAACCTCAAAGAGTCAGTTTAATCAAGGAGAAAAAGAGACACACAATGCTAACAACATTGAATACCATAAAAACGAGGCGATTATGTTGTGGAGAGGAGATTTCGTTTAGAACACCAGAGAGAAAAAAACAACAACACTAAAATATAAAATAAACAATGAGAAGAATTGAATACATTACACAACTGAATGAATAAAGCTGACGTTTATGACAGATACCTTTGACCTGAAAAGGAATGCAAGGC